TCAATCAACCCATCCACGCGCAACTTTTGAAAAACCCTTAAAAGCTTACAATCGCGGTTCCCGATTGTGCGTTTAAACGCGTTTGTCAAAACTTTTGTCTGACTGGGTAATATCCCTTCTATCAGAAATCGTCACATAATCGTTTTCTCATCGAAAACTAGTAGTTTGTAGGTGATTGATTTTCTCGAGAATAGTAACTTCTTCTTTTTCAAATAGTTTTTCTTTGCAGAATAGAAAATTTATAATCTCAGTAGATCAAAAGTGATTTTTGGCAAAATATTTGTTCACTTGGAAAAGCAATATATACAAGAATGAACGAGAGAAGTTCTCCAATTGATAAATTGCTTATGAATTGAAACTATGTGTATTATACACACCTAAGTGAGTCATAAATATCTTGAAAATAGTTCGTATTTTTAACTTATTGTTACAGAAATATTGAATTCTCTATACAAAGTTTCAAGACGAAATTCGAAAATCAGTTTTTCTGTTACTACAGTATTCATTTTCAAAAATATCATAAAATTGTAGTATCTCAAAAACAATAGGCTAAACATACGCACTCTTTTCAGAGTACTAATAACTCATTTGAATCTATATAATGCACATGGTCTTGACTTAAATGCGATTTCCCAATTAAAGAACTTTCCTCATAAGGGGATTTTATATGTAGTTGTAATCAAGCGAAAATTTTTGAATTGATGTAGTCCACAACATATTTTGTACGAAGGACTACTGAGACTTAATTATTAATAGCATATAATACATTTTAACTATATCAAAAGAGAAGCAATAGTTTTGAGAAGTCAGACTGCACCTTCATAGCCTAGTTTCTTTTGTTTGATGATAACCATCAACCGATTCGGTTACAATTTTGATTTATTTTTCTAGGCAGGTGTAGCATTTTTTATATTGGATGCATTCGTTGATTTATTTATTACAATATGTATTATTTTAAATACATTTTTTATGGCACTTGATCAACCAGGTCAAAGTGATAAAATGACACGTATATTAACAACAGGAAATTATGTTTTTACTAGTATATTTACAGCTGAAGCAATTTTAAAAATAATTGCTAAAGCACCAGCTAAATATTTTAAAAATGGATGGAATGTATTTGATGCAATTATTGTTACACTTAGTCTTGTTGAATTAGGTCTTGCAAATATAAAAGGATTAAGTGTTTTACGATCATTTCGTTTAGTATGTTTATATAAGATAATTTATTTTTTTTTTGTTTTGTTTTGTTAAATTTTTTATTATTTAAGTTACGAGTATTTAAATTGGCTAAATCATGGCCAACACTTAATCGTTTAATGTCAATTATTGGTAAAACAATAGGAGCTTTAGGAAATTTAACATTAGTTCTTGTCATTATTATTTTTATTTTTGCTGTTATGGGCATGCAGGTAAAATATATAAAATAGAATAAAAATTTTATATAATAAAATTTTAGTTATTCGGTCCAAACTATGCTACTAAATTTGATAAAAATATGCCAAGATGGAATTTTTCTGATTTTTTTCATGCATTCATGTATGTTTAATTGATTTAGTTTGTATTTATAGAAAAAGTAAATGTATTTATTAAAGGATTGTTTTTCGTGTATTATGTGGGGAATGGATTGAATCAATGTGGACATGTCTTGAATGTGCTGGTTGGCCATGTATACCATTTTTTCTTTTTACATTTGTCATTGGTAATCTTGTGGTATGTTAAATTTATCTAATCGATGATTATCTTTCCTATCAATTATGACTCTGTTTTTTTTTTCGAAATTGAATATTATTAAATATAACTTTTTTTTATTATCGATAATGCATTTGAAATAGTAGATAAATGCTGTACTGTAAGATGACTTTTTTTTTTTTCTTCATAAAGTCTATTCCATTGAGACAAATGAATTATGATTTTGAACGATTTAATGTTAGAAAAAAAAAAAGAAAAGATATTTATATTCATATGATAAAAGCTGTTAGTATAATCCCTACGGAATTCAATATATGAAACACGATGTAGTTGCTCTTGCTAATCATAGGCGATTTATTTTATTCGATCTATTTTGGAATATATTTATTTATATATCCTTTTATTCAATCGTTCAGAAATGCAATAAGCAAATAGTTTATAATATATTAGAACATATCCAGTTTTTGATTGTATTGCAAAAGCATGTGTCACAATCTGTGAGGAATGTAAATTATATTGCAGATCTTTTATATTATCTTAAGGAATGCAGGAGTTTCTAGATAATTCTGGAAGAACTGAGAAAGTTCTACATTAATTATGATCAGGTAAGATTTTGTTTTGTCACCATTGAACTTTGATGCGGTAAGAGACGAACACTGAGCATTGAAATAATATGTGGAAAATAATCGAAAAGTGTTGTAGGAAATTCTGACTACAGAAAGATCATTTATTGTGTACGTTAATACTAACATATAGTAATAGAAATAAAACATAAGTCAAGAGATAAGAAAGAAAATTTTTAAAAAAACGTTATTTTTCTCGTTTTCCAACTGTAAATGATAAATCATCATAAATACGTGTTCTTTCATTTATTGCTCATTTTTTTAGAAGAACAACCATTAAATGTAAATTTCCAATATTTAGTAGTAGTTGTTGTTTTATTTGATTTGAAAATATATTCATTTGCTATTAACAAAGGTTTTCATTTTTGTCAATTAATAAATGAAATAGCTGGTGATTTTAGTTGAATTTCTTCTGTTGAAGATGCGGCAGCTGCAGCCATACTAGTAGGACATTAGTTATATAATTATTCTTTGTCGGGTTCATTCATTTTATCTACATCAAGTATTAATCATCACTATTATTAGTGCGGAAAAATCTAGACTAGTAGAAATTTGTAGGAAAAGAAAACATCAATTATTCGTGTTACAAGTCACTATTTACTTTAGATATCACTATTTTCTTTATTTCGAATTTTTGACATTTTTCCATGCTAAAGGACGGGGGCGCTTAAGATACAGAATTGGCCCATTGGTAATTTACTTGGCTTACTATACTAATTTATATATCAATTGATAGAGGATGTTGAGGTTAGTAATCGCTATAAGTTTCATGAAGTTCGCACAAAGCTTTCATGAATAAACCTTTTCCACAATTTCATATATTTTGGCCCATTATTATAAGAGTTAGCTCTTTTATAATGGACTTTCTTCTTTAATAAAAAGGGTTGATAGAATATTACTTATATTGTGCATTTAAAAGCTGCTTGATTGGGCTTCAATTTCATCTTCAAACCACCAG